ACTTATTATTTTATTTATTCTTCGTTTTGATATTGAAAACAATTTCTTTCTTAATTGTTTTTTATTTAAATGAAGAAAGAAAAAATGCTTTTTTATGACTCCATTAATATTATTGTTAGTGGCGTAAGATAAAAGCAATAAATTATTTCCTTAATCCCTTTATTTTTTTATTATCTTGGTTTTTTAGAGTTATTCTCTTTCATAAAAGAGATATGTATAAAGCAGTTTCTAATAAATTATAAATAAAATTTTAAACTAGTCCAAAAAATTATTTTATAATAGTTTTTAAGTGTTTGTTTGTTAATAAAATAAAACTGACTATTTTATTTTCTATTGTAATATAAACATTTTTGTCTCTAAAACAACTAATCAAAAATAAAGGTGATGATAAAAAGTTACTTAGTATCACAAAAAGAGGTGTAAGGCTTTGTTAAGTATTGAGTCATTAGAAGTAATCTTATCAATATTTTTTAATATATTTATTTTCATAAAAATAAATTTTTTAAAAAAATTAAATCAGTCTTAAAATGTAAAAAGAATTTCCATTCAACTCATTTATAAATCCAGACAATCAAATAATAATCAATCACATTAAACAAAGGAACAACAAAAAGATATGTTTTGTGAGCTCACCATCTCAGTTAACCAACCAAATTAGAATGGATAAAATATAAACAAAAGGAATAATTATTGTAACAAAACAAATTAAAAAAATATTAACTAATAGGTATATCTGCAATTAGATTTTCTTCATATTGAGAAGTGATTATTTCAGTTTCTTCAATATGCTCTACTTCTACAATAGAGTTCATTTCTAACATATTATTGTAACAAAACAAATTAAATAAATAATAAAATTTTTTTATTTTTTAATTAATTGATTTATTTTTGTATATAAAACATAACTATATAAAATAATATTACAAACGACAAAGTTAAAGTAATTATTATAAAGTACATTGATTTAATAACTCATTAACTTGATCTTGAGTAAATCTTTTCTTTTCAACAGTACTCATAAACATATTAGCAGTAGGTCTTTTTTCTTTAGGTAATAATAACAATGGAGTTTTTAACTTTTGTTGAAGGTCTTCACTAGTTTTTATTTTAAGTACTTCGTCTTGGATATAAAACATAACTGTTCTTGCAACGCTCATTAAAGCACAAAACCCATCCATTAAAATAAAGTCAAATACTCTTAAAGAAATTTCAAAATTAAATGCATGAACATACCATAAATAATGCCATTCAAAAATGAAAAAAGGCATAGGGCAATCAATAATTTCTAATTTTTTTAAATGATCAAACATTTGAGGATAATGGTCTTTCATAATAATTCCAGTTATTTTCCATAACTTTTGAATTAAATCAAAATTTAAAAACATTTCTTTCCATTTATACTTTTCTTCACATATTTTCTTTGCACCTGCATAAGCTTCTTCTTCTTTTAAAAACATTGTAAAAACACTAATAACACTTGACATTCCTTGAACATAACCTAGTTCTGGTTCTGTTTCAGATAATGAATGAAGAACATTAAATAATTCTTTTTGACCACCACAATATCTAATTTTAAAATTATAATGTAATTGGAACGTTCGATTAATATCTAAGTCAATTTGTTTATCATGTTTTGATCTATTATCTTTTTCATTTAATTCTTTATATTCTTTTAATATTTTTTCTTCAATATTATCTATTTCAAGTAATTTTTTCCATAAATCTCTTCTATAATTCATTGGTACTCCTTTCATAACTCTTTCATTTAATTTATGTGGAACAGTTTCTTTCCACATTTCTAACATTTTCTTCCATTTTTTATTTCTATTTTTTTCTTGTTTAATTTTTTGATTTGATTGTATCTTGACATCATAAATAATACTTTTCTCTTCATCTTCAGAATGAAAGAACCCGTATCTATTTATTCCTTTGGGTTTTTCTATATTTATTTGTCCTGCATCATAACATACTTTAACATCAGCTCTATCATTAATTTCTAATATTACTTGAATTGACATTTCTAATTTTTGTTCAATTGCATATTCTAATGCAAGTTTATCTTTTTTATCTTTAATTTTTGTACTTTCTTTGTTTGTAATTAACTTTATTATTTCAATACAATCTTTAGGCTGATTACAATAATGATGTAAATATGTTTTTCCTTCTTCATCTTGATAACTATAGTCAATACTATATCTCTTTGTTAATTCTTTAATTTCTTCATAATCTGCATTGTCACAATATTTAATTAATAACTTTATTCCTTCTTCTGTAATAACTTCTTTTTCTTGATCTTTTTTATTTTTTTTTTGTTCCTCTTTTTTTTCTACTTCTTTTGTTGCTTCAACTTTATCTTTTATTTCTTCCTTTTTTTCTTCTTTGTCTTTTATTTCTTCATTCTTTTCTTCACTTTCTACTTGAACTTCTTCTTTACTTTCTTTATCTTTTATTTCATCCTTCTTTTCTTCATCTTCTACTTTTTCTTTATCACCCTCATCTTTTTCTTGGCTCTCGTCCTTGTCTTGTTCTGATTTTTCATTACTACTGTCTGATTTTGTTTGAGAAAGGGTTGAATTTGAAGATAATTTTTCGCTGTCTTGTGAACTTAACCTCTTTTCATCACTCTTTCTGCCTGATGGACTTTCCTCAGGAAAGTCTTTCTGTTCGACTTCACTTACTTTTTGTTCCTCTATTGGAAATTCGTTTGAATACCCATGACTTTCACTTTCATTTTTTCTTTCAGAGTCAGACAGAGAAATAGAAGAAGAAGGGCTAGAGAGTTCTATCTCCGATTCTGACTGTTCCCTTGATGTATCATTTGACATACTTTCCACAATCTTCCTTTTAAAGTTCTTTTAATTTTTAATATTATTTTCAAAGTACTATTTTTAAATTTGTAGTTATTTTTAAGTTTATCTCTATTATTAGTTTTTTTTAATGTGAGACTGAAAAGGATAATTATGACCGAATACCTTAGTTATATTTAACAAATTTTTATTGGGTAATCAAAAAGATGTTTCATTTCTTTAAAAAGTATATTCGGATCTAACTAAATAAACCATCTATGATAGAATAAACTTAAGTGAAGTCCAAATCAAAAAGGAAAGATAAAGACAAAAACTCTTTTTTCAATGAGAAATTAACAAAGCATTTGATAAATAGTTAAAGAAAATATTTATAACTCTTAGAGTATAATTATTAAAAAGACAATCAAAAAATAGAGGTATTAAATCGAAAGGGTAATATAATAAATTAAGTTTTGATATGAAGAAAAATATAAATTATATAACCTATTCTTTCATTTCTTTATTTATGACTTGTTCAGTTTAAAACGAAAATACATATTTTTTATAAATAAATATTAATGAATAGAATAATCATCAACTCTTATTTCAATCCAAGTCAAATATGTTTTATTTTTATAATAATTGCAAACCACTTTAAAAAAAAATAAACGATTTTAACAAATGAAAATTAAGACTTGTTAAGTTGATTAAAAAGAACATAATTTAAAGCACAAGAAGAAGAGCTAGAACAAACATCGAAATAATAAGATTTAAACATCCACTTCTTTGATTAAAGTTTTGTTCTTTTAAACAAAAACCTTGGTCAGAGCAAACATACCCAACTCTACAAGTTCCACAAGTTGGTTGACAATTTTCTTGCCATGGGCTAGCACTTGAAGTAGTTGTAATAGTACATTCAGTAAATTGGCAGTCAAAAGTAGTATGGTCGCATTCTGTTTGATTATCATTTGCCTTAGAACGAATTAAATAACTTTTTTTAAGAGAAAGAGTAGTACCAATAGGAACAGAATGAGTAATTTTAATAAAGTTAGAGTATTGATAAGAAGAAGCATCAAAACCAATTTTCATATGAATAGTTTCACCATCTTTGTCAAAATAGTATTTGGTTGGTAAATCTGAACTAATTAAATTAGCAGTTTTCATGTCAACTGAAGATATACGATCAGTGTAATATAAATTTGCTCCAATAAATTTATAAGAATGGAGGTCACTACACCTAAAGTCCATTCTTAATTCTTTAAAGTCTTGGTTCAGTCGTAAGGGTGTTGAATATAAGAAACATGTAGAAATAGGATCTGATGGTGTATCAAATTGAATTATTGACTCAGTTAATGGAAAACTTGTAACATTGTCATTATCAGCAATATAATACATCTTCCATCTAAACATAGGAAGAATGTTAGTGTAATTTTTTCCTTCAATAAACATTTGAGTATCAGCTAAATATTTACAACTTCTTAAATTATAAGAAACAAAACGATCATCAGTAGCATATCTTGTTATTGTATTTAAATCTATCCCTTTAAATTCAGTCTTTTCACTGTCAAAGGAAATAAGATAAATATTAATAGAATGTGAAAATAATTGAATAGTAAATGTATCATCAGAATTAATTTTAATTTCTTCATTCAATTCTCCATCAATAATTTCTATTTTTTCTGGTGGTCTATTATGGTCAGTAAATTGAATTATTGCATGAGTATCATTTTTACTTAAAACATATAACGATGGATTAATCCTTAAATCAAAATCAGATTCTGCCACTGTTACTTGACTCAGTGGTAATGAAGTTCCACTAGCTATAGTAATTTGACTGAATATTGAATTTCTTACTCCAATAATTCGAGTGTATATTTGAGGGTTAGCACCATTAATAGTAACGTCAACTGAGCCAGCAATCATGCACATAACAGGATTTTGTGATGGCCCTACAACCTCAAGCCATTCACCACATCTATTAACAGTGTTTGTACTTTTATTAACTCCAATTAAATATTCATTTATATAACAATCTGATTTGATGTTATGTCCATGAACTGATGTACGAAAATCAGGAATTTTGTCATAACAATACTTGATTTCATTGACAATGATTCTTGGAGAATTTAAATTAACTGCAACAAAATCTGTCATACAAGGGGTATCAAGAATATGTCGATTTCCTAAAACATAACAAACAAGTGTTAATAACGTTAATGAAAACATATATGAATTTCATTAGTCCAATTTTTTAAGTTTTTTTATTCAATGACAATCTGTCTTTGGAATAAGGACAAATTTATCAATGTAACTTTCTTTTCAAAGAAATAAAAAATCTCAACAGAATAATCAATCTTAAATATTTTATCATTCCTAAAAATAGTTCTAAAGTTCTTAATTACAATCTAAATCTATTGAAAAGTAATAATTTACATTCCTATTTTATATCGTTTTTCCTCCTGTTTTATTTTTCCTTTTTTTACACTTTTTTTTTCTTCATTACCCCTTTATTCTTTTAAGATTTCTCTTAAATGTAATTCTCTTTTAAGATGAATAAAGTAAATCTTCTTATTTTACTTTTTTGAAATTTTAGACGTTATTACCCCATACTTTTTTTTCATTAACATCTCTTTTCCTTCCTCTTTTTTTTTTGTGTTATTAAAACTTGTTTTATTTGATAAGCCCTTTATCCTTGAGTACTTCGTCTTAATTCACTCTATTTTTCTTTATTTAACCTTAATTAGAAACTAACTAGAGCCCCTTCTTGTAGTGGGTTTAAAATTGATTTGCAGATGTTCTTTAAGTTTATTCTATCATTATAACTTTTCTAAAAGAGTTATTTCCCTATTACAACTCGGTTTTTTAACTTCCTAACAAAAATTACAAAATCTTTTAAAAACGTTTCCTAAAAATAACTAATAATTTGTTATTCAAGTCAATTTTTATTCAATTATTTAAAAGTTAAAATTACTCAATTATTTCAGTTTTAATAAAATTATTTCCAAAAAAAGAAATGAAAGAATAAAAAACATTTTATCTTAATTAATAATTTATTAATAAACAAATTTTAAATTAAAAAAGTAAAAAGAAAAAAATTAGAAAAAAGCTAAATTAAAATGATAAAATTTGGCAATAAAAGACTTTAGAGGAGCATTAGAAGAAGTGTTCAGTCTTTCCTTCAAGAAGAAGATGATTATCACATGGAAGTCCAAGAAGAGCTCTAAAGAAATTATCGAGACATTCTCTTTGTTTAAAGAGAGCGTTAATAACTGGAGAACCTTTTGGTACAACAGGTGCTTTAAGAAGATAAGAGATCATAGACATTACAGAATTAAAGTTTTTAAATTCTTTACCATCAATAGAATAAGTAACTCTAGTCATAAATTCCATTAAAACAGCAAGATCAATCATTAAAGGAGCAGCAAGAAGAGAATCTTCACAAGTATTATGAAGAGCAATTGTATTATGTCCTCCTAAGAAAATTTCAGAAGTATATTCATCCATAGCTCTTTTAGAATCTCCTACATATGGAACATATTTAATAACAATTACGTGGTCTGGATGTTCACCTTCTTTATACATAATATTATTTGATTTAACAACATCAGAAACAACATTTGATTTTGATATTTCTTTAGATCTAAATTGTGATGGTGAACTTAAATTCTTTCCATCATTATTTCCAAGATGATTATATGATACAATTGATTGTAATTTAAGTCCTGATGAAACAAGGAAATCTGCAAGAACAGATTTAATTTTTGTTTGTCCTGTTTTAAAATCATCTCCCATAACTGCACCTCCATGTTTATTTGCTAAATCAATTACACCTGGAACAAGTGTATTTTGTGGTGATCCATTTACAAATGGACATCCTTCAAGAATAGCTGCTGTTGCAAAAATAGTTGATGGTGATACTTCTTCTTCTCCTGATGCAATAGATTTTAATAAATTTTCTGCAGTATCATTAAGTCCTTCTTTTATTTCTACATATCTTTCTGTTGTAGCAGTCCATAAAACAACTATTTTATCAAGTCCATGTTGTGCTTTAAAATCTCTAATATTTTTTCTTACCGTATCAAGATGATTTTGTTTAGTTCCTGGAATAACATTATCAGCTCTATCATCTTGATTTGCTGCAATATATGATTTGTAATAAATTGATGGTAATGGAACTAATTCCTTCATATATGGATATAATTGTCTTTGAAGATCATAATCTACAACTTGTGCTCTCTTAAGTGCATCTGCCATATTTACTTTTGAAATATCCCATCCTCCTACAACAATATTATCTGGACAAACAAATGGTAAAATTTCTTTATATGGTGCATAAATTTCTTCTCCTTCAGATGTAGCCCCAAGTCTCATTGTAGCTGATTGAGTATATGATCCATAATAATTTGGTTCATGAACTCCTCTTCTATCAGTCCAACAAATATGATGTTTATTAGCAAGAATTCCTGCAGTAACAGTGGTTCCATTATTTCCTCCCCATCCAATCATCATAAGACCCATTTTTGGAATCTTTTTATCTACTTTAAATTTATAATCTTTAGCAATTGGTGTACAAATAACTCCTTCTTTACTTACTTCTACATGTGTAGTTTCATAATGAAAGTCTGCTTCAATACTACTTTCTGTTTGATGACTTTTGGTAGAGTGAAATTGATATGACATCTAATGAATGTTTATTTGAATTAAATCTCAGTTTATATATCTCTTATATTATTTCTAGAGATCTCTTCTTTTTCTTCTCTTCTCTTCCAGCTCCTTCTTCCCTACTTGAGTCACTTTTCATCTTCATTTGTTGTATCATCTTCTTCCTTTTTTTATTTCTCATATTTTTATCTTATAACACAGTACTTTTTTGAATTTTTCTCTTATTTTTTTCATTTTTTATCTTAGTTCAATTGCAATAAATAAACAGATATTATCTGCTTCAAATCTTATGGATTCAAAAATCTTCCAGTTGTAGTTTACTCTTTCTTTTAACTTTTTTTACTAAGTTTTATCTTTATTTCTAAAGTGTTTATGAATAACCCTCACAAAAATTCGTTGCTATTTTTTCTTTGTTGGATTTGTCATCGTATTTATTATTTTATACTTGATAGTTTTTTTTAATTATAATTATTATACATGCTGGTTCTTTCCATTTTCGTTTTTGGTGCTTTATTTGGAATTCATTAAAATCTTACTTTATTTTCAACTATTATTTCAGGAGTTCAAACCTTTTGCTTAATACAGTTTTCTATTGACTTCTTATCGTCAAGTTTATTCCTTTTTTGGTCGTTTAAATGTGAAAAATAAAAATATATCACGACCATTTTATTCTTTCATAGCCCATTTGGACTACTAACTTACTTTTTTCCCTTTTTAATAATATTGGCTGTCTTTTTAATTTATACAAAATAATTAATTAAAATAAGATAAACAGCCATATCATAACTGGTAATATAAGAACTTTTATAGAAAAATTTTCACATTTTGCTTGATAATCTTGTCCATCATAATCCCATTTTGAACATTTATCACATTCAAATGTTGTTGTACTTACAAAATTTTCACAACTATCATAAGACAAAGATATCCCAATTCCATTTGTTAATTTCTTTACTGAAAACCATACATTTTCCCCAGCAAAAATACAAACATTTTCTCTTCTAAAATATACTGGAATTGTTTCTGGATTTTTTCCACATAATTGAATACCACCAACTTGTTCTGGATACTCTTCAAATCTTCTAAAATCACGAGTTAATGTGTATTTGTTTGTTGCTTCACTACAATCACTATTTTTATAAATTGTTGAATCAAGTTTATTTCCATTTTCTTTCACGTATAAATAAAAGGTTTGTTCTGGTGATTCTATTGGATTCATTGAATAACATTGTCTCATATGAGCTAAATAATAAACGTCATTTGTTGTTGACAAATCATAAAATCCATATAATTTCTTCGAGAGAACTCCTGTTAATAAGAATAGTATATTGATAATCATTATCTCTCAAGAAATATATATAAATTAATTATTTTTTTTATTTCCTTTTATTTTTTTTAAGAAGAAGTATTATTATATTATATTATTTTATTTATTATTTATTTTAAAATCAATAAAAAATTATAATAGTTTTTTGATTATTACATCACAAAAATGATATTTATAAACTTGAAAATATTTATTAATGATTGAAATCTATCAATCAAATTATTATAAAGTTAAAGAGTTTGTAAAAAGAATTAACTAACTTTTTAAGTAGTTAAAAGAAGGGGACACCACACGTCTCTTAAAAAAGGATCAAGAGTTCTCAATAATTTAAAGAAAATTAATGTTGCACGTCAAACCAATTAAACACAAAATTTTAAATTCACAAATAGAAGATTTATGATATGAAAAAGCTAAGTCAATAGACCGAGTTGAGACGTATTGAGTTGGTTTATTTAAATAACGATAATTGAATCAATATTTGTGGTCGTTCTTTTTTGTATCTTTGTAATAACTAAATTTTTATTTGTTAAATCTTGCCAGTCTAGTTTTTATTACCGAAAAGGCAATCCCGAAGGTTGATAGTACTTAACTTGTATTTACCACAGAAGAAAAGTATAAGCAGATGAACAATTTAATTAATTATAACACTGACACTATTAAAACAATGAAAAAAGTAAAAGTCGATTTAAAATCATTTGAAGTTGGAGAGTGTTCAATACTTCTAAGTCTTCTTGGAGAAGAAGAAAATAAAAATACTTTTGTTTCTAATAATCCCCCAGAACAAAATAATGAGAAAAAGTATTCAGCTAGTGATAAACGAAAAGATATAGCAGATATTAATCGAAGGTATACCTTTAGATTAAAAGCATTAAACGTTGCACTAAACACTACATTTAGAGAATGGAAAGACTTGGAGAGCAGAGGATTTGACACGAAAGAAGTTCAGTCTAGATGGTCTGTTCTCAATGAAGAATACAGAATAAGTAAAAGAAGGGCATCCTTGGAGATTTATGAATTAGTCCAACCATTGTATAGAAAAGCATATGGAAACGATGGTGTTCACGACCTTCATGGTCAAGGAATTAAAAGTGGAAGTTTAGTTTTTATTGTTTCTACTATTCTTGACAATGAAAAGAATTACATAGAAGCAAAGAACAAAAACATAGTTTTTGATATTGGAGATGAAAATGATGGTGAATGGCATATCCAAGCTGTTTGTGCTATCACAGTGTGGTTAAAAGAAAGAAATTATAATTTTTGGATGGATGAGACAAAGAGATTTGTGTTTGTCAAGATTAATTAAATAAAGTTTTATTATCAGGGAACATAACTTTTTATTAAAATGAGTGTTAAAGAAAGTGAGTATTTAAGTATTACTTTTCATATAAAATATTATAAATCTAACTCTTATATAACATTTTTTAGAATAAAAATTCTAATTACTTAAATTAAAAAAGGGTCATTCAAAATACTTTAAGTGTTAAGTGTTGTAAAGGAATATTATTAATATTTTTAATAATCATGTTTTTAAATATATTTAAATATCATTCTAGTGTTATTACTTATAAAATTCTTAATAACTGAATATTTTGATTTAATAATAAATTATTGTAAAGAATCTTTAAACATTTTATTTAGTATTTATTTTATGAACAATTTAATTCGTTATTTCAATAAAATATCCTATAACAGAAATTACTTTTTTTTTATCGTAAAGATATTTTGATAATAAACATTACATATACCTTTTGTTATGAAACAAATGATTAAACAGGCAACGAAAAAAAGGAAATAAGAGAAAAATGAAGAGAAAGAATGATATAAAAGAAAAAAGTGAAATTAAGAAGTAGAAGATGATGAAAAGAATAAAAGTAGAATGTTGAGATTATAAAATGAAAGAAGATAAAAATGAATAATTCAAAAAGAGATAATAAAAGATGAAAATAATGATGAAATAAATGATGCATTTTTTATTATAGAAATTAGAAATATGAAATAAAAAGTGTTTAATCTATTGATGCAAATTATTTAACATTATTTTATTTATGCATTTTATTTTATTCATTTTTATTTTTATAATTTTTATTTATATATATTATTTATTATCTTTTTTTCTTTTTAATATATTGATTATTTTATTTTATTATTTATTATTCTTTTATTTATTTTTCTCTGTTCTTTTATTTGTTCTTTCTTATTATATTTATGAAATATTTCATTATTATAAAATAATTTTATTATTTAATTATTTAAATGATTTAAATTAAAATGAATTTATTTTATATTTTAATAATTTCTTTAATATCATCATTTTATATTATTATTATATTTATTCTTTCATATTTTTATTATTTATTATTATTGTGTTTTCATTTCTTATTTTATTTTAATTTATTATTATTATTATTTATATTTCTTTTCTTTCTTATTATTCTTCTTTATTCTTATTATTTCTTTATTTCTTATTTTTCTATTTTATTTATTTTCATTTCATTCATATTTTCATTTCTTGTTTTGATTATTTTGATTTGATTTAATTTTAATTTTTAATATTATATTTTTGATTATTCTTATTTATTTATCATTTATTTATTATTTGTTTTTATTATTATCATTTGATTTGATTTATATTTATTATTATTTCTTTTATTATCTTTCTTTTCTTTATTCTTTATTATTTATATTATATTCATATTTATTATTATTTATTTTTGATTTTAAATGATTGTTTCAATATTCATCATTTTATTTATATCTATTATATTAATCCTATATCATTAATTTCTATTATTAAATATTAAATAATCAATGTGATATAACAAAATAATTTAAATAATATATCA